ACACACACACACACACACAGACACACACACACACACACACACACACACAGACACACACAGACATACACTTTAGAAGAGCAGAATCAGCTGCATAACCACGCCTCTGTAGAACATAGAGACAGTTCACCCAAAAACCATTTATTCACTTACCATTTACTGACTTCCATTCATCTTTGAAACATAAATGAAGATGTTACGTTTGAGCATGTTTGTATCTGATGTGCCATGATCATGTTTATGTGTGAATAAAATATTTTAGTCTGTTCATCATATCAAGCAATCATGTCTCTTCAGAACTGAGCTTTCTTATAGTTACATACATATATATATATATATAAATCTTTCAGTTACTCCTACTACTGCTACTAATAATAAAATAAAGTATTAAAAAAACTTAAATTTACTTTATTTCAGCTAGTAAGTCAGCATTTCTCATTTTCATTTAGTTTAAGTTGATGTATTAAAATAACTAAAACTAGAACTGAAATAAATATTCATTTTAAATATTAAAACCATACAGATATGGTTATAGACAAAATATATAGACATAGACAAAAACACAAAAAATAATAAAAATGACAAAAACAGACAACACATTTACTAAAACTTTAACTAAAATCGAAATGAAATTAGAAATATGAATAAAAACTATAATACTATTATCTCAATGATTCAAAATGAGTTTTAGGGTTGCGTGTGCTTTCAACAGAAGGACAGAAATGTCTGAGGTTTCATTCAAAATATCTCCATTTGTGTTTTGAAGATGAAAAGTCTTGTGGGTTTGGAACAAGATGAGAGTAAATGATTTAATGAATGCATTTACATTTAATTCAGAAACACACCGTGAAAGAGGAACGGATGAACACAGAAATATATACAGCAGAATCTCTTACTGTAACCCCTCACGTGTTATTACAGTTAACAACTAAACTAAAACCATACAATAATCGTGACTTCAAATAAATGTTAACTAAAATAAAACAAAATACAAAAAAACGCATTTAGTTCAGCTAGTTGTCAAAGCATTTAAAATAATTAAAACTGAAACTGAAATAAAAATGTATAAAAAAAGGCAAAACACAACAAAATTACTAAAACTTTACATGAAAATATCAATATACATTTTTTAAAATTAAATATTAATAAAAAAACTATGATAGTGTCTCAATGATTCTAAAATAACACTGCTGTAATCATAGATGACAAATGTGAGACACATTTCAGCCAATGTTTGCCAGTATATTTTTGTAAACACATGAAAATCTGTGCTGCTTTCTCTCGATTTATGACCATAAGCCTACAAACAAATTTATATTCAGATCTGCAGTTTCGTGTTTCAGCCACAGATGGCGGTAGCGAGCGGAGAGCGCACACTTCATTTACAGTCAATGAAAATCAATCAGATGTTCAGTCTGCTTAATGAGCGTTTTGGTATCAACTGTTCGGTGGACAACATTCACAACTGACAGAATTCACAGTAAAAAAAACACTAGATCTTCGAGATCAGAGAAGCACATATTCTGTCTCTCTACTTATGGAGGAGTCTGTGTGACGATGAGACTTCAGATGGCTTTCATTAGGCACCAATGTTCCCATCTCATCCAATCAGCAGTCCCTAAACCATTACAGCAGGTGAGTCCAAACTTTTAATGCACTGAGCTGCACTGGATTCCCCGTGGAGCCTTTTCCCGCTGCTAATGCGGCCCGAGGAACGGCTCGAAATGCACCATTAAACCTGCCGGAGAATTAACTTGGACAGAACGTCATTATGTCACACACGAGGCCCTGCGACCGTACGATTTGAGGAAAACCAATATTGCTGGCTAGAGAAGCGAGTTGGTTCGTTTAGATACATAATTAGAGTCAATCAGCCATGGACCTGCGGTGAGTGTTGAGATTCAACAAACAGAAACAGAAGAACGATATTCCACACAAAACGGATCCGTGAGTTCTGCTGAACACGGCTGCAGAAAAATATACACGCAACAGTACTCTATTCCTTTTGCAGATATCTGAAAACAATGTGCTCCTGTTCATTTTGGTGTTTCAACTCATTCAATCATAGTTCATGTTTAAGGATATTAAAAAATGCATTGATTTAGGAATAAAACAATGAATGCATCAGTTATAAAATTAAGATATATGAGGTTTTGTTAATATACCAAAGGCCAAAGTGTTTCAAAGGTCGCTTTCAAAAAACAGCTTAAGCTTCTCAATGTAGTTCTTAAAGTTCTCAACTTGTCATTTCAAAGCAGGCTTACTGTTAAAAAATATATTATATATATATACACACACACACACACACACACACACACACACACACACACACGCTCACTCACACAAACACACACCACACACACACACACACACACACACACACACACGTGGTTGCCGCTAATCTCGCTTACACTAATACTCTATTCACACACATTTCCATTGTTTTACTCACTGTTACTTGCTTTAATGGCGGATGTGTGTCTACCTTTGAGTGCAGGTGAGGACACGTTCGAGATGCATTCGGTGCAGGTCGAGCTGGAGGCCGTGGAGAAGCAGATCCGGGACCTGATGGCAAAGCAGACCCAGCTGAGAGCGCGGAGAGCCGCGCTGGAAACATCCCAGGCTGACGCTCACAAGTCCGAGGTAAGTATACAGCGCGCTGCTATCTCTCCCACCACCTCTACTCCGTGTGTTTCTCTGCACAGGCCCGGTGCACCCAGGACGCGATCTCCCCAGATGTCCTTCCCTCCGGCGCCGGGAC